CCTAGACCCTAAACCCAAACCCCAAACCCTAAACCCTAAACCCCAAAACCTAAACCCGAAACACTAAACCCCAAACCCTAAACCCTAAAACCCAAACCCCAAACCCCAGACTCGGGCCCGTGCAGGCTAGCCAACTCCGCGTGGAGCGTCGCCGCAAAGGCCGGGTCCTCCTGGTCTTTCTTCGTCCTATCTTTGGGGTTCCTTTAAGGGGATCAATACCTAGGGTTTAGGATTTAGGATTTAGGGTTTAGGGTGTAGGGCTTAGGGTTTAGGGGTTCCCTTGAGGGGATCAATGCCTATGAAGGGATCAATGCCTGTCTTTGGGGGTTCCTTTAAGGGGATGAATACCTATCTTTGCTATCTTTGGGGTTCCTTTAGAGGAATCAATACCTATCTTTGGGGGGTTCCCTTATGGGGATCAATGCCTATAAAGGGATCAATACCTATCTTTGGGGTTCCTTTACAGGGATCAATACCTATCTTTGGGGTTCCTTTAAGGGGATCAATACCTATCTTTGGGGTGCCTTTAGAGGGATCAATGCCTATCTTTGGGGTTCCTTTAGAGGGATCAATTCCTATCTTTGGGGTTCCTTTAGAGGGATCAATACCTATCTTTGGGGTTCCTTTATAAAGGGATCAATGCCTATCTTTGGGGGTTCCGTTATAAAGGGATGAATACCTATCTTTGGGGTGCCTTTATAAAGGGATCAATACCTATCTTTGGGGTGCCTGTCAGGTGATCAATGCCTATCTTTGGGGTTCGTTTAGAGGGATCAACGCCTATCTTTGAGGGTTCCTGTAAAGGGATCAATACCTATCTTTGGGGTTCCTTTATAAAGGGATCAATGCCTATGTTTGGGGGTTCCTTTATAAAGGTGAATACCTATCTTTGGGGTGCCTTTATAAAGGGATCAATACCTATCTTTGGGGTGCCTGTAAGGTGATCAATGCCTATCTTTGGGGTTCCTTTAAAGGGATCAATGCCTATCTTTGGGGGTTCCTTTAAAGGGATCAATACCTATCTTTGATCTTTGGGGTTCCTTTAGAGGGATCAATGCCTAGCTTTGGGGTTCCTTTATAAAGGGATCAATGCCTATCTT